TTGTAATATATATCAAAATTTATGATTGTTTTATAATTGAAGTATTTATTGAAAAACAGTGAAAATTAATTATGAATGAAATTGATGTAAATAATGATGTTTAAAAAATTAATAATAAAAACCAAAATAAATCTGGAGTAATTTGGTTCAAAATAAACGTATTTTTGATACTAAAAATCATAAAAAAATAATATTTTATTTTAAGAAAATAGTTTCATATGTGGATGACTTTGCTTTTGTTCAAAGTTATGTAACTATATTGTTTCTCTAACTTCAAATTAGTTGTTATTCTCAAAACCTAAGTCAAAAAAACATAACTAAAAATAATCAAAAAAAAAAGAAATAAGAAATAATCGAATTTGTTATTTTTCAAAGAAACTTAGGTAACTTTTTCATATACAAAAAAAATCGGAAAAGTACTACAATAAAAATAGAATACAGAATATATTAAAAATTATAATTTCTATTTATAACATTCAAAATTATTGGTATCTAAAAAAAGAATCACATAAAAAAATTTTTTTAACTTGAAGACTGAAAATAATAAAAAGAATGAGTACTTGGGTTGAAATACAAAAAGAGGCTGTTGAAAAATGGGTTGAGTCAGTGATGGAGAAAAAGACTCTTCTTAATGAAATTGGTGGGTTTGATATAATTAAATTTTTAGAGAAGGTATCATCAGTAAAATGTCAAACTACACGAGCTAAAGTTGTCAGAACAAAATTTGACCAAATGGAAATTGCAGAAAAAGCACTAGAATTTGGGAAAAGTTTACATTTAAGATGTGACTCAATTGAAGTTAGTCACATTATTTATCATAATGAAAAGATGTTATTATCTTTTTTTATTTCTATTGCAACAAAATTTGTACCTTTAGGAAGAGTTCATATGAGAAGTGTTAATGAATGGGTTAAAGAAATGACTCAATTGCCAATCCAAAATTTTAAAACAGATTGGAGAGATGGATATGCTATGAAATTTATTTTTGCTGATGACCATCCATTTGAGTTATTTTCTCAATTTGGAATTACTCAAGTAATTCAAGAACAGAATTTAGGAAAAGATGAATTTGCGATGATGCTTCAAGTTGCTTTGATTTATTGTAAAAAAGAAGAAATAGAGAAGTACAGATTTAATAAACCTGATATTAATAAAATAATGACAGAGAAATTTGAAGAACGTAAAATCAAATTACGTTCTGAAGGTGTTTTTGATGAAAGTCAATGGGCTCCAGTCAAGGTAAATACAGAAATTAAAACAAGTATTGTTACTCCCCCATTACCAGAAGAAGAAAACCCTGTATTAGAAATTAATGAAATGGAAAGTAAAACTTCTACGAATGAACCATTTTCTGATGAAAGTACAGAAACCTCAATTGAGTTAGAAAAACAAAAAGTAGAAGAATTACAAGTTGTAGAAGAACAAAAAGACATTAAAGAATTATATAATATAAATAAAGAAGAGGAAAACAGAGTAGAAGAAAATAACCAAAATGAAGATGTTATAATAGAAAATGATTATAAGCTAGAAGAAGAGTATGAAAACAAAATAAATGAAGAAGAAGATGAAACTGAAGAAGAAAAAGAGAATCAAAGAGCAGATGCTGAAGTAATCGATGAAGAAAAAATTCAATTGAAAGAAGAAGAAAAGAATATGAACAATATTACTGAAGAAGAGTTAGAAGATAAGTCACAACCATTATCTTCTTATATTAATACTTCATCAAGTGAAAGTCAATCAGAAAAAGAAGGGTTATTAATTAAAACACCAACACTTTCAACTGATGATAATAGTCAAGAAGAAATTATAAATACATTTGACAAAGAATCATTACATATTAGTATAGCAAAAAGTGAATCAGAAAGTAAAGAGAGTGAAGTTGAAGGACAAGAAAATGAACTAGAAAATATACAAGAAGGTCCTACAGAAAAGTTAAAAGAGTCTATTGAACAAGAAGAATTAATTGAAAGTAACACAACACCAAAAATTCAAGAAGATATTCAAAATGAAATTGTTGTTGAAGAAATACAAGAAGAGACAACTACAAGTATTGAAGACGAAAAAAGTGAAACATCAAATAGTAATTCTTTTATGTTATTTGGTGAAAGAAAAGAAGAAAATGATCCAGAAATTCCTAAGAAACTTATTATTGTTGGAAGACCAAACGACCTAATAAAAGAACCAGATTATGAAGAAGAAAAACCACCAATTAATGAAAAAGAAGAAGAAAGTATAAAGACAGAACAAGTAAATGACCCAATAAAAACAGAAACACCTCTTAATATATCAGAAAATGATCATCAAACAAATACATCTGAAAAACAATGTAAAGAAGAAGAAGAAAGAAATGATGAAATTAAGATAATTGAAGAGTATAAAGATACATTTAATAATTGGATTAGAATGACTCATTATTCAATAGTATATAATAGTTCGAAAGATGGACTTACTGCTATATCATTCAATAATAAAGTAGAAGAAAAAAATAATATAATGATACTAGTTATTACAAAAGAAGGATATTCATTTGGTTGTTTCAATAGAAAACAAATTCCTAAAGCACCTAAGAAAGGATATAAATATATTAAAAATGATAAAGACTTCTTTGTATTTTCATTACATTCAAAAAAATTAAAACAACCAGTAATGATTCAAAGAAAGAAGAAAGGAAAATCATTATGTATATGGTATTCAAGTTGTAGAGTTTATGCATTTACTGTAAAAAGATTTATGAGAATAACAAATGAAATAGGAAAATCACATTTTATAAGTAAATTATTCACAAAAGAATACAAAGATATTACAAAAAAAGGAACAACATTATTTACTGGAGAAAATGAGTTTAGTATAGATAAAGTATTAGCTATACAATGGTCTTAATAATTAATTTGTTTTTTATTGTTGTTATTATCAATGAACAACGATAAAATTAAACTAACAAGTTAAACAATAAAACTTAAATCAAAACAATGACAAAAGGGGGTTTAGGATATAAAGTGGGAATGATAAGTTTAGCCAATTACATTAGCTCAGTTCTTCTACTATCAATAGAAATTTCTCTAGGAGTTTGTTTTTGTATTTGGAAATCTAATCCATATTGTTGGGGTGGACGAACAGATGGATCTTGTGGAGGTAAATTAACTTTTTTAAATTTAGGTATGTTAATATTAGTTGGTGCGAAATAAAATAAAGGGAGATTTGCAGTCATAGTTCCTGTAAGTTGAAGTAGTTTATTAACATTAGAATTAAATACTGTAGTAGTATCACCAAAATCAGATCGTTTTTGCAATACTGTATTAGTAATAATTTCTAAACATCGTTCATTGTCAGCGATAAGTTGTTCACAAATTTGATCATCTTGTGTATATCCTCTATCACGTGTTTGATACATAATTGGTGGTGCTCTTCCTAATGAAGAAGATGAATAAGTACCTTGAGAATATACTGGAGGTCTTGTATATGGTGAAGGACCACATTGTGTAAGTATATTATTTGGGAATTGCACACGAAGTTGTGGAGCAATTGGGACTTGAGATTGTAAAACAGGAGGTGGATTAGATACTAAAGGAGTTGGAGTAACATTAGAAGAGATTGACATTGAATTACCATCTTTTTCCCTTCCATTGAGTGTTGAAGAACCAACGGAAGAAACTTGATTTGAATTACTTGAAACTGAGAGGTCTTCATCGTCACGTTTTATACGTAAAGGAGTTCTTCTTTCTCGTTTAGGTTCTTCTTCACGATCTGTAGAAGTAGCACGAGGAGAT